ATGGTCTGTTTCACAATCTGCCCCTGACTTTGTTTTGGCTGATGATATGGAGCTTTTCCGTCATCTCTTTCCTCAGATGTAGTCAATTTGATTTCTATGTATTCCATCAGGTGAGGTCCATGTGTATAATCGTCTTTTATGCTGTCTAAAGAAGGTATTTAAAATTGATCAGACATGTAATCAAGTTGTATTGATCATAATGCAAAGGTTGGAAACAAAGAAGAAACATCAGTTAGAAAATATGGCATTCGTGATAGACATAATGCTGGAGATGGCATGATAGAGTTCTGTTTTATAGGTAAACCTTGGTAATGTATATATGTCAAAGTATTTGCCTATTTTTTTCTGCATCACTGAACTTAATGGCATTAAGCTATTCAGAGTACCCCCTTATTTTTTGCCTCAGTCCGTAGGAAATATAGTGATGTCCCCTCTCTTTCATTTTCTGATACTTGTATTTTTTATCTTCTTTTTTTGATTATTCTGGCTAGAGATTTATCAACAATAGCTATTATAAGTACTCACTGTGTTTCATACACCTTTTGAAAAGTTTTAAATATATTATTTTATTTTAATATATTAGCATCTATAAGATATTTCCTGCTGTTACCCTTCTCAGACAAGTAAACTGAGGCCTGAAGTTAATAGGAAACTTGCCTGCAATCTAATAGCCAGAATTGTGTTCATATCCAAGTATCGCTGTTTACAAAACCTTTGCTTTTGACCACCCTACATTATTAGCTGGTATAATTTGTTGTTGTTAAGTGCCAGTGAGTCAGTTCTGACTCATAAAAACCCTATATAGGGTTTCCAGGGGATGGCTGCAGTTAGCAGTCCAGTGCTTATCCTGTATCACCACACCTGGACTCTCCTGACTGGTATAACAGGCAAGTCAAAATCATTTACAAATATGAAAGGACACTCTTCCCTCATATTGTGATTGGAAGCAAGCTTTTCATTTTCCTCTTTGGACTATACTACTATTGTGTCTTTGGATCCCTCTCTGTAATCAGCGTATAGTATAGAACCTTTTGTTATAAGGTCTCCAGATACCTGTTTGCTCCTTCCAGAAGTTGAAACCATTTAGATAGGGCAGCTATCAAAGAAAGGAAAAAATTTGGGGAACTTTGGGTTGCCACACAACACACCTTAGATTTTCAGGACATGAGTTCTTCCAGTGACTGGATAGCTAGAGCAATCCTGATACCATCCATTCCTGGTAGATAAGAACTAGAAGCCTTGACTCGATTCCTTTCTCCTTAAAATGTAGGCATTTTTTCCCTTCATAGATATAAAATATGCTTTTGAAAATGAAAAGTGATTTACCTGCTTGTTTCTTCAGGTCTGACCGTAACTGCTGTGAAAGACTCAGGAGAATGGAATTTGGAGGCTGGAGCATTAGTGCTTGCTGATTCGGGTCTTTGCTGTATCGATGAGTTTAACAGCCTCAAGGAGCATGATAGAACCAGTATCCATGAGGCAATGGAGCAACAAACCATAAGTGTTGCTAAGGCTGGGTAAGTGTTGTTTGTCTTTTCCCTTTAAATCTATGGGAATAGTGAGATTGTTTAATATATGATTAGGGTAAAATGTGTATTTGGTTTTACCTTAATAGGTGTGTTTGGTCATATCAGAAACGATCAACTATTACCGTTCAAGATACACGTTCACGTTTTCCCTTATTTGACTACAGAGGTGTGTGGGAAAATAAAAATGGGTTGTGGGGGTAAAGAAACATATAAATGCAGATTAACTATGTACTTGGAAACTAATCAGGGATAGTTTTCAAATCATTCTCTTTCATTCAATAATTATTGTTTGGGTACTCTGTTAGAAATTTTGAAAGATTCAGAAAGAAAAAAACCTTATACATTTTCCTTTCAATGACAATCTGTATACACCCTAATGAAAGGCTGATCACAGCCCATGAAAACGAAATCATAATACATATTAGCATCAGGTGAAGTGATTGTGATTCTACGGTCGAAAGCTTAGTATGTGAGTCCCTGGCTATACACCATTTGTTGTTATTGTTTGCTGCCTTAGAATCGGTTTCAACGTAGAGCAACCCTATGTCCAATAGAAGGGAACACTGCCCGGTCCACACCGTCTTCACAGTTGTTGCAGCCACTATGTCAGTCCATCTCCTTGAGGCTCATCATCTTTTTCACTTCACCTTTCACTTTACCAAGCAGGATGCCTTTTTCCAGGGACTTGTCCCTCCTGATAACATTCTAAAGAAGAAGAGACAAAGTATGTCCATTGTTGCTTCCAAGTAGCAATCTGGCTATGCTTCTAACAAAACAGATTTGTTTGTTCTTTTGACAGTCCATAGTACTTTCAATATTCTTCTCCAGTACCCTAATTCAAGTGCATCAATTCTTCCACTATCTTCCTTATTCATTGTCCAGCTTTCACATGCATATTAGGCAAATGAAAACATCATGGCTTTAATCAGGCACACCTTAGTCCTCAAAGTGACATCTGTGCTCTTTAACACTTGAAAGAGGTCTTTTGCAACAGATTTGCCTAATGCAATACATTTTTTGATTTCCTTACTCCTGCTTCTATGAGCATTGATTTAAAGCAAAATGAAATTTTTGATGATGATGTCAATCTTTCTCTATCAGGTTGTTATTTATTGGGGCAGTTGTGAGGATTTTAATTTTCCTTACATTGAGTTGTAATTCATACTGAAGGTTGTAGTTTTTAATCTTTATCAGTAAGTATTTCAAGTCCTCTTCACTTCCAGCAAGCAACTTGAAACCATTCAAAAACCCTTTGTTCTGTTCCAGTGACTGCCTCTTGGCTTCTGTACAGGTTCCTCATGAGTACAGTGAAGTGTGCTGAAAATCCCATTCTTCACAATGTTTTTTGTTATGATCCCTACATTCAAAAATCTTTGCATAGTCAATTAAGTACAATTACACATCTTTTTGGCATTATTTCTTTTCAGCTAAGCTCCATCTGATATCAGCAATGATATCCCTCATTCCAGGTCCTCTTCTGAATCTGGCTTGAATTTCTGTTAGCTTCCTGCCAATATATTGCTACAACCATTTTTGAATGATCTTTAGCAAAAATTTACTTGCATATGATATTAATGATATTGTGGATAATTTCTGCATCCCTTTGGGTCACTTTTCTTTGGATTTGTTTTTGTTAAGTGCCTTCAAGTCAGTTCTGACTCATAGTGACCAGGTATAGGTTTCCTAGGAGTGGCTAGGGGTTTTGAACTACTGACTTTGCAGTTAGCAGTTCAGTGCTTATCCTACAATGCCACACCTGGACATCTTTGGAATGGAAAGGCAAAATATGCCATATTTAGACAGTAATACAGGCTCCTATGTCCTGAGATGTTGTTGTTGTTAAATGCCTTCGAGTTGGTTCCGACCCATAGCGACCCTGTATAGGGTTTCCGAGGGTGTAAATCTTTACGGGAGTAGAAAGCCTCATCTTTCTCCCGCGGAGCAGCTGGTAGTTTTGAACCGCTGACCTTAAGGTTTGCAGCCCGATTCGTAACCACTACGCTACCAGAGATAGTTAGGGGAACTTTACTTTGCTTAAAGGTTGGCACTGTGGGCTAATGAATCAGACTTCAAAGTCGTTTGAACTGTAAGGTCGGTGGTTCAACCTCAGAAGCTGCTCCTTGGAAACCCTATACAGGGTCACTGTGGGTCAGAATCGACTCGACGGCATTTAACAACAACAAGGTTGGTCAACAAGCACTTCACCAGATCATTATCACAAACCACAAGACCAAAACTATCTGTGCCTTCATGCTATTATAGATGTGGGCTAACTGATAGACAAGGCCGCAAGCAGGGACTTGCAACTTAGTGGGTACTTAGCAGCCAGATAGACACTGGTGGATTCTTGAAGAGATCTGATTATATACAATAGCATTTCCACTAGCAAAAATGGAATGGGGAGAGGGTGAATAGGCTATTGTCTGTAGGAAACGGATCCAAGAACTAGGAAGAGCTATTAACAAATGTATTCATTCACTTATTGTTGTTGTTAAGTACCGCAGAGTCGGTTCCGACTCATAGTGACCCTGCACAGGGTTTCTGAGGCTGTAAATCTTTATGGGAGCAGAACGCCTCATCTTTCTCCCACAAAACTGCTGTTAGTTTTAAACTGCTAACCTTGAGGTTGGCAGCCCGAGTTGTACCCACTACACAACAAGGGTAAATCAATAAATATTGCTACTAGGGTGCCAATTCATACACAACCAAAGCCAGACCCACTGCCTTTAAGTCACTTCTGACTCAAGTGACTCTGTATAGGGTTTCTGAGACTGTAAATCAGTATGGGAGCAGACACCTTCATCTTTCTCTTGTGGAGCAACTGATGGAAGTGAATCACCAGCAGTTTAATGCCTAACCCACAGAGTACACACACAGGAGTATTCCAAACAAAACATATTTAAACATGTCTCTGTTTCAGTAGATGGCTGCAAACAAGTTCTTTCAGAAATACACTTGTTTTAATCTCAGGGTGCCTTTAAAAGAAAGGTCCAAACAAAACTTTATTCCAGGGATCTGCTTGGCCAGCTAAATTCAAGGCAGAGAGGTCAGCTCAGAAGGTTATGGTGACTAATTTTTTTTGCAATTCCAGAGGAGCAATCTTGATGTATTTTCTATTGGGATATGGGATGAACACTGGGGCTTGTAAAGAAATTTCAAGAAAATTTGAAACTGTATTGATGAAAAGGAGCTCTGGTAGCGTAGTGGTTACGAATTGGGCTGCGAACCTTAAGGTCAGCGGTTCGAAACTACCAGCCGCTCCGCGGGAGAAAGATGAGGCTTTTTTCTACTCCCGTAAAGATTTACACCCTCGGAAACCCTGTACAGGGTCGCTATGGGTCGGACCCGACTCGATGGCACTTTACAACAACAACAATTAATGAAAAAAGACAGGAAAGTTGCACTGAGGAATTTTTTTTCATCATGGTGACAATGCACTAGCTCATTCTTTGAAAATAGCAAGGGCTGTCCTGTGAGAATTCCATTGGGAAACCTTATCTCATTCACCCTACATTCCTTCCTGATCATGTCCCTGCAAACTTCTTTTTGTTCTTAAAACTCAAAGAACCTGTCAAAGGAGCATGATTTTTGAGTCCCTGAGGCTAACCAAAACTGTTGCTTTGATGTGGCACATAATTCGTCAGGGGAGGGTTAGAGAGATGGAAACATTGCCTTTAGAAGCGTAGAGACCTAGGTGAAGGATGTGTGGAGAAACGGTAACTTCACATTTTGCTAGTTTTAGTTAATAAAGATTGCTATGACTTTGTAGCAATACTTTTTGACTCAGCTTTATATACTTGTTTAAAAATCTGCTGTGTGCCAGGCACTGTGGTGGTTGTTGTTAGATACTGTCAAGCCGATTCCAACACATAGCAACCCTATATAGGATTCCCAAGGAGCAGCTGGTGAGCTTGAACTGCCAACTTTGCAGTTCAAACAGCTTTGCAGTCTGGTGCATTAACCTGCAGTGCCACAACAGGGCTCCAGGCACTGTGGTTGTTGTTGTTGTGTTGTGAAGTGCCGTCAAGTCAGTTCTGACCAATAGCGACCCTGTATAGGGTTTCCGAGGAGCAGCTGGTGAGCTTGAACTGCCAACTTTGCAGTTCAAACAGCTTTGCAGTCTGGTGCATTAACCTGCAGTGCCACAACAGGGCTCCAGGCACTGTGGTTGTTGTTGTTGTGTTGTGAAGTGCCGTCAAGTCAGTTCTGACCAATAGCGACCCTGTATAGGGTTTCCGAGGAGCAGCTGGTGAGCTTGAACCACCGACTTTGTAGTTCAAATGGCTTTTCAGTCTCGTGCATTAACCCACAGTGCCACACTAGGACTCCAGGCATTGTGGTAGACTCTACTAAAACATTATCCTTGAAATATTCACTATTTTATTGAGAAATAAAATTAATAAACCCAAATAGCAAAGTGATAAGTCTTAATAACAATGTTAGGCTATTTCTAAACTCTTTGGGAATACTATGGCTCTGTAGGATATGCAATAGACTACTAACCACAATTCCTTCAATGCACTTTGGACTTCCTCCCTGAGTATCATTGGCTTTTGATCATATGGTACCTCTTGAAATGGTTGAACATTAACTATTTCCTTTTGGTACAATGACTCTGTGTATTCCTTCCATCTTCTCTTGATGCATTCTGCATCACTCAATAATTTGCCCAGATAATTTTTCAATAACGAAGTCGAGGCTTGAATTTTTTCTTCAGTTCCCCCAGCTTGAGAAATGCTGACCGTGTTCTTCCTTTTTGGTTTTCTGATTCCAAATCTTTGCATATTTTATTATAGTATTTGGCTTTATCTTCTCGAGCTGATCTTTGAAATTTTCTGTTCAGCTTTTTGACCTCCTTATTTCTTCCATTTGCTTTAGCATCTCTATGCTGGAGAGCAAGTTTCAGAGTCTCTTCTGACATCCATTTTAACCTTTTCCTTTTTTTTTTTTTGTTTTCTTAATGACTTTTTGCTCTCTTCACGTACGAT